CTAATGAGGTCCTTCTAGTACTAAGTAGATTGCAACGTGAGGACTATAGTCTGTGCTCGACAGCGTACAAGATATGAGAGCAAACATGTATAAGCATATGTAGAGTAGCCTTATACGGCTCATAACAGATTCCGTACAGTACGGCTTGAAGCATATTTGGCAAGGTGAGTTATGGGTTATTGGTCATCAAGGGGGATGACTGCAGGGAGTGTTGGTGAGGAAGTGGGAGTTTTATGGGAAAAGCAAGGTACGGATGAATTTAGGGAGCAAGCCAAAATAGAACAAATTTCTTCTATTTTGGCTTGCAGGGAGGAAATGCCCTTAGCTATGTGACAATTTAGGGAATTGGCTGTGGATGTTTTTGACCTAAATTTCAGTACAACACAGTGTAGGCCACACGGCTGTGGATGCTCTAAGTACTTACAAAACTGATGATTTAAGAAGAACTTCTCAGAATCAGACCATACATAACTTTAATCAAACCTAGACACAGTACCAAAAAAACCATACCACTTTTAACATCTAATCTGCTTAAAGAAACCCTTTTTTCTTCACCACAACTTTATTACTTTGTAGTATAATTTATTGGTGTCAAGAGACATCAGAGTATACTGGGTAAAGGATATAATGATGATTTAACACTTGGGGATGAGACCAACAGGATGATCTCTGATTTACATGTTTAAGTGAATTTGGTACTATGTTTGTTGGCTAGAGAAAGGGAGAGAGGTTTAGGATCTCTATGAGATTTATGGTAAAGTAGTATGTTGAATGGAATGAAATACAAGGCAAGAAAATGATGAGATCCATTCTCAATAGTTTATCCCTTTCATTTTCTCTGACTACCTTTCCTTTCCTTGCTTAGCTCATGCTAAGTGAGGAAAGGAATAGATGTGGGCGGTGGGTTGTCGAGGATAGATGAATCTTCCTCGAAACCCGTAGTTTCTAGAAGTGTGTAAGTGTGGACACTGAGAGAGTTCATCACATTGAACTCTCCAGTCTCCATTAACTCTTCCTGATAGAGTTCTCTTGAAGTAGGTCTTCTTCAGGAGAGTTCAACGAAGGTCAAGTCTACTTCTTAGATTGACTTTCTTTTTCACTTCCCTTCTAGGTTTGGAATAGGGGGTAGTCTGGAATTCCCGTTACTCAGGAGACAGGCCTGAGCCTATTCGGGCTTCCCCTATTCCTGTCTCGCCCACAATTTAGTGTCTTCTGTGTGTGTGACTTATGTACCCACGTTTCCAAATGGTTCTTAAAAACAAGTAACGTGTCGTAATGGAGAATCACAATTTTCCTCCTTGAAAAAGGATGCACAGTCAAAGAAAGAGTAAAGCAAAACAAGGAGGCAACTACATGGTTAACGAAATATACTAGGTTGTTCTTACATTCAGATAGACGTTAGAGTAAGGCGAAGGTTACACGGTTACAAGTGTACATCACGGAGAGGTCTAAACATCTTAGGTAATAACGAGAATCAAAAGTGGGGTATGGTATCTCCAGTGATCTTCAATATCCTCTTCGCTGCCTCCCACTCTTGGTCGCTCCACTCTCTTTGATACAATTTATGGCAGTCAGATAACCATCTTCCTAGAGTCTTTATTGTAGGTGTCGGTAAGCCTGATTTCGTTAGCAGCGTAGCGCCGCCTATTTGGAAAGAATGTCCGGTCATTTTGGAGGTTTTCCCCCAAGCTCTGGTCATGACTTTGGTCATTAACTGCCTAGTAATTGCGGTCGTACCTTCGTCACCGTAAGTCAAGAAGAGACGAGGGTCTTTAACCCTTTCTAGACATGTCATCAGGTCCTTGAGAGCTGATACGGGACATAAGACACCACCAGTTTCCTTAACTGTCAAGTATTGGTGTTCTCCGGGTTTGGCGGTCTTCGCCTCCCTTAGGCAGATGCGTGCTGATGACTTGTTGCCTACCGTGTAGAATTGAACGTCTGAACGGAGAATTGCGCCGTGGTCGTGTCTGTTAAAAGGAGTTGATTCATACACCAGTTCGCCTAATCTCCCGAGTCCCCAGTAAGCTGTCAACACGAGAGCCGTAAGGCCTTTGGGGTCTACTTCTTCTTCGGCATTATTTGCCACGAGTGCAAGGAGTGCTTTTGGTGTGACAGGCTCGCGGTTGAGCTTTTGAGTTGGGGCGCGAGTCTCTAGTTTCTTTGTCGCCCGTAGGATAGACTTCAGTCGAGTTAGGTGTACGTTAGGGAAGTTGAAGCCGTGAAACGCGTGCCAAGTCCTCATGGCGGTGAGGTATTTGGTGATGGTCGCTACCTTGACCGGTTTATTTGTGGCGGTGTGGTTGAAGTTATGTCCGGCCCAGATGATGAATCGCTCGACTGTGTCTTTTGACGCCGGGAATGCTTTTAGGTGTCGCACAGCACAGAAGGTCTTGAATTTCTTGACCCCTGATGAATACGACTCGATTGTGGAGCGGCTCCACCCTGCTCTGATCATATGGCGCTGGGCTCTGGTCAGTCGTTGCTTCACATGGTCTTTGATCCTAAGGAAAGTTGTTATATCTCTCATCGTGAACTGTGGGTTGGATGTGCTGTTCCCCGGTGAGAAAGCGTTAGTCTTTATTGTCTCATGTTTAAGAGTATTCCTCGTGCTTACTCTGAAGTGTGCTGTCTTGTTCCTTCTTCAAAGAATCAAACGGATGAGGTGTTGGGGACGGGTAATGGGAAAAAAAAAATTGAGAGAAGAAGGATTGGGAGTATGATGTTGGGTGGTTGCTCGACGAGCTGCTAATGACGGGATGGCCGAGGAATCAGGATGAGAGGTAGGTGCGGGCCTTGTGGTGTAATCTGCTTTGGAATGGGTGTAAAGAACTGTAATGAGATAAGTGAAGGAAAACGAGTGGCTCTAGAGTTGGTATGATCTGCGGTATCTACGCGCTTGGAATTATCTCGAGGGACTTGCAGGACTCAGAGAGGTTCTTCGAATGTTGCCTGTGGTGTAGTGAAACGACAATTCGTTTTTTAACGTCCTTTCTTTATATTTAACAGGATTCGTTTTACTCACCTGCTTGTCAGACGCATCGATCCCTTCGACGTCATGTAACCAAGGGATCAGATCGTCTGGGACATCCACATGGATTTGTAAATACCACGGTTTTGACGATGGGAGACCTCTCGACAGTTTGTCGGCTGCGTTGTCCAAAGTTGCCACTCGTTTTTGCTCTAGTTGACAATCATTCTCGAACAATAGTTGTGAGATATTCTTCCATTCTTCATTGACCCAGAAGTCGCGTGACGATTCATTACGTAGTACTCCTTCTGTCGTAGTGTTATCAGTCAGCACGAGGAAGCGTTCTCCTTCCAGTCTACGAAGTTTCTGTACTACTAATAGCCCAAGTCGCACTGCGACTGTTTCTAACCACGCGATCCCGCGTACCGGTTTCCCTAATGGGGTATCCCAGCCTGCGTGTAATTTGAATTGAGCCCAGGACTTCCCTACTATTATTCCAATTCCGTAGGTAGTCGACGCGTCGCCAACCCAGCCAATGTTGTTGATGACACAAGGTTTCAGGAGCATTCTATTTGGGAAGTTTGATAGAGCCTTCTCCCATACCGCGAGATCTTCTTGTACCTGTGCCGGCATCTTCCTTTTTGCTGCCTGATTGAACCATTCCGCTTTCCAGCGGTAACCACTTCTCAAATAGCACCGTAACTGTGGTGCTATGTAAGCCACATGGCTTAGCCTACCGTACATCTTGTCTGCCTCCTTGTAGGTGTAATCCACCTTTGCTAGAAATGATTGGAGTTGTGATATCCTTTCGTCTAGCTTCTTTTGGGTTAGGCTGACTGACCTCTTTTCGACGTCCCACAGAAAGCCGATGTACTTCTGTTTGGTGCTGAAGTGTGCAAATTTTGTGCTGTTAGTTTTGACGCCTAGTTCTGAGCTGTAAGCTACGACTTCGTCCATGCTTAATTTTTGTGACTTTACCTTCAGGATGAGGTTGTCATCCACCCATCTGAAGATTTTGTTTAAGCCGAATTCTAGTTCCACGAGTTCTTTCCAAGCGTCCGCCGTCCCACCAAAGCTTCCACAGCCAGCTACGCCTCCGAAAGAGATGCATAGATCTATATAGATGAGTCCGGCAAAGTCGCAAATGAGAAGGTAAGGCCATTGGCTTGGGTGTGTGCCAATCTGCCTGTAAGCCTTTAGCCAGTCAAACAGGGCCGCCTCTAATTTGTCGTCGCAGTTGGCGATATGTAAGGCTACCTTCTCGAAGTTATCCCAAGTTGTTTTAAATTCGTGTTTATCGACGAAAGAGTTGACGCTTGGTATCGCAGGGTCGTTTTTTGGGAAAGATAGGTCGTTTATGGGTTGAAAGGACCCGTCTCCGTTGATTACTGCCCCCATGGGGCTTGAGCGAAAGAATTTGTACCTTTTCGCCATTTTGTCTTTCGTAAAAGGTCCGTAGATCCTGCCTGCTTCAATTTCTTTCTTTAGGTTATTCTCGATATCTTCACGGGCCGACAGCGCTGACTGGTGGTTTGGAGGGCAACAGAAGGTAAATCCTTCGATGGAGTGATCCGGGATGCCCTGATCAAATCCTTGTTCGAAACCGTACAAGATAAACTGGAGCCTCGGCAGCAAACCATGTTTTGACAGTTCTCTCCTCCAGGCTTCGATATTCATGTCGCATTTGACTTTGTCTGGCCAGCACTTCTCTTCTTTGTCTGATGGTTTGTCCTGTAAAGGTGTTCGCTCGATACTCAAGGGTAGCTCTTTTCTGGTCAAACTTGTGGGGAACAGTGCACAAATTATAAGTAAATTGTGTAGGCAAGGTAGAAGAAATAACGGTAAAGACAGGAAGACATATTCTTTGGAAAGGACAGTAATTGATCGTACGTGATGAACGGTAGAAAACAAGTGTGCTTAATTAACTAAGAAGGGAATCTGATTTAAGACTAAGAGTTGAAAGCTGTGATACAATTATAGCTTCTAATATCTGCGGTTACAAGGATAGGTAGAATGACATCTATATCGCTCACCCTTCTTGGCCAACGTTATGTATACCTCCTCTACCACCTCTCCAATTTCCTCTATGACCTCCTCGTCCTCCTCTACCGGGGAATCTGTTAGCTGCCATAGGGGCCGTTGGAGGTATGGGACGAAGTCCTTGATAGGACATCGGGTTGGGAGGTAGGCCATGGTGTGTCGCAAAGTGGCGCTCTGGAGCCACTGGTGTGTGGTGGCTGACAGAGGATTGGGTGGTGTTTGTGTTACGCTTCGCTCCTCTTCGTTTCTTGAACGGTTGAGTGTCTGATTCTACTACGACTCTCTTGTTGTTGCTAGAGGAAGCTGTTGGCTGTGTTGTTTGTCTCCAAGTGCCGGTTTCTGGGTGTTTGAACTCCAATCGTCCTCCTTTTGCGTAAGGGTTGGTATCACCGCAGTTCGCTTCACCGGCTCTCAAGGATTTGTCTTTCGCCTGATTCAGATACTTTTCCGCTAACGTTCCAATGTCTTTCATCTTCTCTTTCTCTCCTCGTTTCACAAAGATTTGTGCTTGAACTAAGATATCATATCTAAGGGCTGTTAACCAGCATTCTGTGGATCGCCTGTATGGGGAGATTGATATAATGAGTACATATATTAGCAACTATTTGTATCTTACTGTTCAGAGTAAGACTCTGGACACACTTGATTGACTTTACATTGTCTATGTGTAGTCTCAACCGTTTTGCTAAAGGAGCTTGGCCGTAGTATCCTGTTAAATAGCGTCTAAACAGGCTCATGTTCTTGGACCATTCTCCGAAGGATTGGGTGTATTCTGACGGAGCCTCGAGGCCTTTGTTGACCTTGCCTTTTGATGAAGAAGAATGGTGGTTTTGATTATACTCTTATCCAATCTAGCGAAATTCTGGTCGAAAACAGTAAGGGGGATGGATGTGTTTAATTCATCCATCTGATCTGACCAGAATGGCTTTGATGTGAGGGGAGCAGTCAGATCGTGCTACTAGCAAACATTGGTAGGTACATTGCCGCTCTCACCTGTAATTGTACTAAGTCACCAGAAGGAACAACACCGATGTCTATCTCGATTGTTTTCTTCTTTTTCGACTTCTTTGAAGTTTTTCCTTTCCCTCTGCTTTCTTTCTTACCAGTCTTGTGTTTCTTGTTTTTCTTCCTCGACTTGGTTGTTTTCTTCGCTTTAGACTTTTCTTTCTTTAGCTGAGCTAGTAGCTTCGTTATCTTGTCTACAGACACTGTTAAAGACGATTCATTATCAGTTTTGTGATCTTAGTTCAATCTTTCTTCCTCTCCGAGGCTGAACAAGGTAAAAGTATCATGAGATTATCTTAGAGATTAGAATAGTGAAGCGGCTTTGGAATTATCCATAATAAGTGACTTGCGAGTGAACTCTAGCAAGATGCAATCCAATTTGATCGCGAAGATACAAGTGGTTTTGAATATTACGGGAATGTAATATGATCACTATTACGTGCTCTACCATCTGGGAGCTGGACTGCGAGTGTACTCGAGCAAGGTGTAGATATGTGAAATTCACATTTACTGATGGGGAAGTGGTAGCATGAAAGGAAGGGTTTGACGTGATTGGTCTTTTGGTTGCTAACTAGAGTAGGTTACTAACTCTAGTGTGGAGAAGTGTGGATTGTAGTAGAAAGAGGGATAAGGCGTTATTCAATAATGTAGGCTTACTCTTCTTCTTCTCTTTCTTCTAGTGACTCCATCTTCTTCTGAATCGGAATCTTCTTCTCCTCCGGACAAGCTAGATTCTCCATCTGAGCTTCCTCCCGACCCAGATCCGGACAAGATGGAGGGATTAGATGGGATAGGTGCTTCAGAGTCGCTGCTTGAGTCGTCTGAGTCTCCTTCGTCTTCTGAGACTTGAGATGAGTCGTTGCTAGAATCGGGTTTGTCTGGATCTTCTTCTGATACTTCGGAAGACTCGTTTGAAGATTGACGAGCAGTTGCACCGTCTGACTCACTACTTGGTTCATTGTCCTCATTGTTTCTAGGATTGTCCTCTTCGCTAGGGTTCTCATCTTCGTTAGGGTTTTCATCTACAATATCGTTACTTTGATGATCGTCATCTAGGTTACCCTGATGTCTGTTCATCGCGGTTTGGTTCATCTGGCCGTTGTTGTTTGCGTTGGCCTGAGCTAGTATCTCGGTTGACTCCGAGTCGTTGCCGATGTTGGAGTCTTCTTCTGGTGCCATGTCTGATCCGTCTAAGGAAGAGTTGATTTGCGTGGATGTGGAAGGTTCTATTCCTTGAGCTCTTCGGTTAGCACGTATAGCTCTAGATGCTGCGGTCATTGTGTATAGACTAGTTGCGATAAAGAGAGGAAATGACTAAGGGATGGATTTACTAATTGGAAAACGTAGAGTTTGTTTGTATGAATAACAGATTTTATAACGATTTGGAGAGTTTATGATTTAGTTGTAATGTTTGTGATATTAGTATGGGATTTCGAAAATTGTAAGTGACAATATCAGATTGTATTGCTCTTGAAATGTAAGGGAAATAGGGATTTGAATTTAATGATAATAAATTGATAATAAAGGAAGCACTGGGGGACAAATACAAAAGGCAACGAGCTGGGGTTTATAGCCTCCTCTCGCTCTTTAGTCTTAGAGTCCTTCCTGAGAATCATCCTCAATAGGGAAATGAAATCATTTCCGTAACCCCGAGTAAGGTGAGGACTCTTAGGCTTCCAATTAGTCCCTCTTTGGTAAGTTATTAACCTAGATTGGTTCTACTCCCAAAAGAGCGTACTTCTCCTTTTTTTCATGGACGGGTCTTACAATTCGTGCCTTTTGCAAGAGGCAATCAACCTTACAAGGAGTTTAGAACTGATAAGCTGATAAATTCCAAGCTTTAGATCTTCTCTGGATCAACAATCTTGCTGGTTTATGATAACTTGATGATATTGATATTCTTGATATTGAACAAACATTCCTTCAGGCTCCAAAGTAATACTACCTTGGATCAAGTTAAGTTCAACATCCATCTTGAAGAGGTATATCAACTAGATATCTATTATCACAGTCACCAACTCAGAAATCAACTACCTTGTCAATTTTGTTGTTGGTCACTTTTTTCTAGTATTTGGTTTGGTTTGTTGAACTTAAGATATGAAATAGGTTGAAAGACATAACAAAATTAATCAGAAAGAAACAGAATTCAGGTTTTCATAAAGATCACTTCAACATTCAGCAACAAGAAGCTTTGAATCCAATAATGTTAAAATTAAGCTGGGGTGAGAAAATCTGGTGTTTTGGTTCCAATCTCTCAATCTGAATTATTTCTTTAACTTGAATTGATAAAATTTTGAAACCTTGTTGTTAATCAGACAACATCCAAGTATTTCATTGATAGGTGAAAAAGAGTTGTGGGTCTAGGCCAAGGTGGAGAAAGACACTAATTAGCATCCATTGTGATTTGCTTTGACCAGACAAACCCTTTCAGAGTCTAGTTTGTCAAAAAGAATTACGATGAATTTGACAGGAGTATTTACTGGCTGAGAATTCTTATGAAGTCCAGATACATTATTGCACCAGAGTGCTAGCTGAGTTGTGACACTGAGACAAGATGATGGTATCTTGATACCTCTTGCTCAGGGTCTAGTTGCTTCAAGATTCATTGTAGAAGATAGAAATGTGAAACTTTGATGAGAGTTACTTCAGATGAATTGTTCAAAGGTTGTTACTTAGAGTGAGGCGATAAAGTGACCAGAAGTCTTTCATGCAAAGAGGTGTGAATTTGAATTTGATGAACTCAAAAAGACAAACTCAAAGATGAGCAGAAATGAAATCTGTTTTGATGGTGAAGAAAAAAGAAAGCCCTTGACATTATCAGTGATCAAGCTCTAGGAACAACTAGAGATGTACATATAAGAAAATGTGATGTGCCTTAATGCAATCACTTTGTGATCTGATTTCTTAAGACAACTTGAATAAAATTCATAACTGGAGAATCTGTGGGCATTTCCAGAACAGTTGAACTATGAAAGTTATAAAGGAATATAAATCATGAGTACCATGCAACCTCTAATGAGGCAGTATAGGTTTTACCACCAGAGCAATCTATGATTGTATCAAATTGAGAAACATATGGGATTCTAAATGGGATAGATTAGATGTTTGATGCAATTAAAGATGTGATTGATGAATAATGTTTGTCTAATAATCATATAGGCTCACTTGTTTTTATTGTGTTAGTTTTGGGAAGATTTACACTTAGAGTTCATTAGTCAATTGAAATATCTTGAAAGATTGAGTGATATAAGTGAAACTGGAAAATCATTTGAACAAACTTGCCATACAAGTTGTGTGGCTGTGAACAAAACATAATCCAGTGTTTCAAAGAATGACAGCAAACCTTTATTTCACACAATAAGCAATAATTGTTCATGTACAGTAAAAGTGTTGAATGATCTGGCATGTGGAGCTGGCTAAAAATTCATTACAATACCAAACTGAAAGATCAGTGGTTATGTATGGCCAAGTGTAAAGGCACCAGTATTTATTCAAAACATCAATTCCCCATAAACTTAATTGTGATCAACATGTAAGTTTGATTAGATTGGAATTGAGAGACTTGTCATCATGATTTTGTTCATCTTCAAATGTGATGAGTCCAGTCAATGTTAGCTACAACAAAGGTAGATCAGCAAGGACTTTTCTCTAGGAATCTTTAAAAATCTTCGTAATGTATCTGCTGTGCAATTCTAATTGCTAAAGTTGTTTGAGTTTTGATGATAGTAGAACTGGTTGTGATAGAAAAAGTTCTGTCCCAGAAGCTACTTTTGGGTCTTCATCATAAATTTAATCATATTCAATCTGGAGAGAGCAATTCTACTTCTTTAAAGGAATCTTTGTCATTGGATTCTTTGTGATTGTATTCAGGGGCACAAGCATTGTAGAAGAGATCATGTTTTTCACATTGAGCAGGAGGTTTACTGCAATTTTTAGAGACACTGAGTGAAATTGATTGCACATAGCTGCCCTATTTGAATAGGATATCTTTGGTCTGTAGATGAATTGGTGCTGGCAGAGATGTAGGAAACTGTAGTGTCTGGAATTTGGTATGAATGATCAATTGTGATTAGAAAGCATTCCTTCATGAACAAGTTGCTCTGAAGATCACTCCCTTGCCATATCCTTGATTGACAGTGCTGGAATATCTCACACAAAGTAAGGGAATTATTTTGAGTACTATTCAAGATTGGCTAATTTTGGTGCAAGTAAGTGTTGCGTGGCCTCCATTCACCTGGACCAGATATCAGCACTGTACCCTTTGCTCTTTGTTCAAAGGTTGGTTTAGCTTCAAGCTTAGCTATTGAATCAACACTGCAAACATTATTCGGCTTCCCCAAGTGGGCAGGAAAAAATGATTGGGAGTATGATTTGTCATAAAATGATCTATCACTCCACACCTAAGCCAGAACACACACACTACATATGTGCAACAGGCTCAGTGAATAGGTGGTTATCATGTACATACAGTTCTGCTCAGTTATCTGCTCATCAGCATAAGTTATTCATATGTAATACATGCTGTAACTTTTTTCAGATTGACAAAAGTATTCAAAAGATTGACTACATACACCCACCCAGTGTTTTGGTGTGATCTCATCAACTCAACTGCATGTAACACCCTTTCTGTTACTATGAAACAGCTTCAGTAATATTGCCTGAGCAGCTACAGCATTATATGTAGTGAATTTTTGCGACAATTTTTCCAAGGTCAAAAAAGTTACATGTGGTATAACATGTGATTTATTTATTCTGATGGGCAAAAAACTGAGCAGACCTGTATGTACATGATAGATAACTATTTACTTAGCTTGCTGCACATATGTAGTGTGGGTGTTATGTCTCAGGTGTGCAGTATTGGATCCTTTTATGACAAACTGTACTATTAATCATTTTCCTCTTCCAACTTGGGGAAGTTGAATGATGTTCACAGTGAAGCATTTCAAGTATCTTATCAAAAACCCTTGATAGGTAGATTTATGAGGCTTATTATGCTCCAACTCTGTCCTCTGAAAAACATTTGCAACTTCATTGGATGTGATTTCAGATCCTTCTGGAATGTAAGATTCCAGTGCTTTGTTCACAGGTGGAGACAGGTCATGTGACTAATGTGTACAAAGATATCAAACATTGAATTCTTTGACCAGAGAAATTGTTTCGTGTTGAATTGCTCAAAACGCTTTTGAAGAAAGTTGAGATTTTCAATTACTGGCTGAGTCCTCTCGTATTAGTGACCTTCAGAGACGATCTCCCGGAAAATTGAGAGCTGAGTCATGAAGCTAGAGGATTTCATTTTGATGTTGTAAAGGTGTTAAGAGGCTAGTCATTGTAATTATCTTCAAGAGCAACAACTGAGAGAAGAGAGCTGAGATTGAGAAGCTAGTATGAAAATTTTCTGTCAAGAACAACCACTTTCAAGAATTCATTTCAAGGAGCTTGTCGTAGATTGGAAAGCTGGGAGACTCTGATGGGCTTCATATGCCTATGGATTGTCTTTCGCGAGGATCAATTCTACTTGAGACCTTTGGTTTCAGAAGGTTTATTTGGGACGAGATGGTTACTTCCGGTTAAGTCATAACGTGCCCGGGAATGATGCAGAGCAGGTGATTTTGAGGCCCTTGAATAGGAAGACTGAAAGATGAGAATTGATGGATATGAGAAGAATATGAAATTTAATGAGAAAGAAAGACCATAACTTTCTTACTCTAGCTTGGTGAAATGTTTTCGAGTCGGGAACAGAAACCCGGACACAGAACTTAACTCAAACTTCAAATTCGATAGTTCACATCCTCACTTCCAATCAAATTTTCACCAGTAAGTACCCAAACAATTGAAATCAAACACGACCCATCAAGCCAACGAAAAAACCCATCCATTCTAGATTCTCACCGTCGATTGTAATGTCAAGAGCCAAAAGCAATGCAAGGAAAAAAGCATTAGGCATCAAAGTACCTAATTACAAATCCAAGACTTCACCATGTGCACTTAGATATAAAGCAGAAAGACAAAAGAAATATCAACAAGAAAGGAACCGAAAACGAACACGAGAAAGGAATCGAAAGAGAAATGAGGCTCGTAGAGCAAATCGAGGTGAAAAGAGTTTAGAAGAAGATCACAAGGAGCTTGGTGATGATGAAGATCTGGATGGCAGTGATGGGAATTGTGTTAGTGATGAAGAGGATGAGATACTAGGGTTGGATGAAAATGTCGGTTTATTGGAAGGGTCAAAGTACGTGTTTCATACTTCACTCTTCATTTGATTCATCACACTTGATCTCTGATTCTCCTTTGACTATATCTTGATCATAGTTCATTGGATCCTATACCAAGTACATCCAAAACCTTATCAAATCACTCTGAACCTATCCAACCTAAACCTACCAATCCAACAGAAACTTCTAAAAATGAAGACGAAGCTTTACATAAAGGTGTAGAAGAATTAGAAGATGGAGAAGTATCTGATACACAAACAGATCAAGTCATTGCTGAATATCTTGTTGGAAATAAACCGAAAGCCTAACAAAAATCAAAAAAAATCAAACAAAAAAATCAAAGAAAAAAACTCAAAGAAAAATAGTTTGTACAATGTTATTGTATTAAAGTTTGAAGAATTTAATCAACTGTAAAGAATTGGTTTGATTTGATTTATTAAATAAAAAAGAACCTCAAGAGAAGTTAAACATGAACCCAAGACAATGATATTAAATTTCAAGATGAATGGAAAAAAACGATAGTTTTTCTTAAATTTTCTATTTAAGATTTACCAAAAAGAAAAGTGAAGATCTGATTTAATTTCATTTTTAAGCTTTTATAATATCTCAACTTGAAATCTTTCGTTCACTCAAGGATTTGGTTTTAGGAATTTAGTTGGGTAAACTCTAGGTGATACAGAAGTACAAGAAATTCATTACGGTCTTGTTAAATAAATCTTGATTGTTAAATAGTGATATTGTAAAAAGACAAAGTGAGCAAAAAGAGATCAGGAGTGATGGTATTGAGGACCTAATGGTATGTTTCAGATACAAGGCTTGTGTGCTAAAGAACTATATATAGTAAAATGCTTTTTTGTTGTTATTGTTTGTAATCAGTTAATGAAAATATATTTTAATCGTTCTTGAGTTACATTTTTTGGTAGGATTTGTTTAAAAAATTTGATGAGGTTTCATCATGAGCGTTTATTTGAAACCAAGAGTTTCAACTTCATTCTCATCTTATACATGTATGTGGCCAGAATCCAATCGAGCATGTCTTCAAATATGTTGCAATCATTAATGGTCTGTTTCATTTTTAAGTCCAGCTAGATACTTGTTTTTACATCTTCAGCCGTCTGAAGTTATATACTATCAAACCAAAACTGAAAATGATTTGGTCAACAAATCCAATCCAGCAGCTTCCATTTCTGTTCCTAACTCTTTCTTCAAACTATTCTTGATCCATAATATTACAAAATCAAACTAAACTTGTATTAATTTGAAAGGAAAATTAAAAAAGATTGGAAAAGAATCTCTTAGAGGTTCTTATACCATCGATTCACCCATCCTAAAAACCACCCAATACGAAATCCACCACCCCAAAAAATTATCAGTTCGTTTCAGCTTTGAAGTAATGATTTGAAAGATTCAAACACTCAACTTATAGTTAACTGCAGTGTCAACTTTATGTAATGAAGTTGAAAATGATTTCAATTTAACCTAAGAAAAATCCAAGACCCAAAAAAAAGATGAGTGTGAAGATTTTTAAAAAAAGAAAAGAAAAGACTAAACTCGTTCAGATCCTTCTGTAATATCAAACGCTTCACTATCTTTCCATTCATCTAAATCATCTTTCAAATCATGAGTATAAGCCAAAACCTTAAAAGTTCCTGTACGAAAAAACCGAAAAAAAAATTTGTAAGATAAGATCAAATTGAATTAAAGGTTTTGGGTTATTTTTTTTTTACTTGGAAATTCAAAGATTGGTAAAAATGAAACTGATGCAATGATTTGTCGAATGATTTGTTGGATTTCGCTTTGGATTTCGGTTAGCGATTTGGGCTTTGATTTTTTAAGAATCGGGTTTTCTTGGTTTTCTTTAGGTTCTTGAGGTTCTTTAGGTTCTTTAGGTTCTTGATTTGATGAGTCTTCAGTTTCAGTTTCTTCAATGGTTACATCAAATTCCCATCTTTCTATCGTTTCTCCATTATCTTTTCTTTGAATAACTAACACCAATTTAGAAAGTTGACCAGAAAGTAACCAAACTAACCCAAAAACTCAAAATCAAATCAAAATCCAAAATATCATAATTTCCAAAGTCACTGATTTGAGAGCTTACGTTTAAGTTGAGAATTAATTTTATTTAAATAATCCAAGATATTCGAATCTTCAATCAACATCATTTGTAAACCGAATTTCTTAATCATTTTAAAATCGTTTTGATCATAAATCGAACGTTGGAAAAGGATTGTATTGAGAGCATAATGAAAGTAATCTGAAACAATTGTGGTGGATCCTACTAAACTGATGATTTGTTTTTGGTCTGTTTTAGGTTTGGTTTTCATTCTGGGTTTGGTGAGTTGGGTTGTACTTCCTGTGGGTTTGGTTCGCGTTGTTGATGGGGGTCTTGGATGTCTTTCTGTCATGATGAGTTGAAGTTGAGTTTGAATTGGTTGAAGAAGTGGAGATGGATTTATCATTTATCGGAGTTTACATATGTAATCGGAATACATGTGGCAAGTCAGCTGATCATATCACACTCTATAAGACTGAAGAGATGTGATCGATAGATAAAATGCTTCTACTGTATACTTGTCTGTAACTCACACATCCATTCTCGATCAAAACAAACAAACACTCAAACCCAAACAATCGAAAAACAAACCAAGAAAACCCATCAAATCATGAGCACCAAGACCTTCCCAAACCAATCCCAATCACCTATCACAAATACAATCATCATCATAACATATTTTTTTATTAGAATCGGTTTAGAAATCAAATTGAATTCAAATCCTTCTAGTTTGTTTCATTCGATTATCAATAGACCTGAAATCGTTACACCTATTACTGGTTGGAAAGAATGTATGGATCAATCTTTAAAAACCAAAACATTTTATAAATATTCTGATGAGCTTTTGTTTCGATTAGTACAGGAAGGGGTTTATCTTTTTAAAAATGGTTATGATCCCTACCAAGGAGACATTTTTCATCAAGTTAAGTAATTCACCAAAACTTTAAAACCGTTTTTTTTTGGATTTGATAACTGATGAGGAAAATTGGGTTTTAGTCTCCTTTATTACTTTATTTATTTTCCATCGTTTCTAATCCGATTTCGATTTCTTTAGTTTATGCTTTTATTGATTGTTGTTCTGCTTACTTAAGTTTAAGTCTTTTTAGATTTAAATCAACGGATCTTGGATCTGGTGCATCTTCTTCTTGGAAAGATCATGGTTGGGTTTTGGATTTGGTACGGAATGTAAGGGATTGGCAGTTCTTGATTTGGTTTGTCTTTCTGATCATTTGTTTTCTCTTGAAATTATTCGGCCTGATCAAAACACTAACCTTTTAATTTTTTTGGGTTTATATAATGTTGGAGGATTTTAAAAGTTATTTGTGTTTTCCATTACAACTTTTCACTAGTTTATCTAAATCTACTATCGTATTTACGAATCTATTCATTCTAATCTCTTTAAAAGCTTCACTAAAAAGTAAGTAATAAGTAAAAGTGATTAAATTTTCTTCAAAATTGTAATCATACTGATGTATGTTCAACTTGTTTCGAATAGATCAATTAGCATTATCTATGTTCTCACTGTCGATCGCTACTCATCTAAGTGTTTATCCGATTTTACTCTTACCAAGTACGATATCCATCATCTGTGAAAAAAAACACGGTTTGAACTCAACTTGGTCAACCCAATCAGTAAGCCTCAACCCCTTCCCATCCCACTTCAGATTCTAATCATGTTCTTTTTTTACAGACAACAATTTTTCAATCGATTTCGATTTATGTATCACATTTTGGGACTTTGATTTGGCTTTTCCCATTTCGAATTTCCAAATCTGTTTTCTTATCACACTTAAATGTTAATCAAAACTTAAATCCAAACTTGGGTTTACATTGGTATTTTTCAATTGAAATCTTTGATCATTTTAGATTGTTTTTTAATTTGGTGTTTCAACTTCATTTATTGATTTATTTGATACCTTTTTTGATTAAATTCAAGTTGAGTCTTTTCTTTTTTTTTCTCGTTTTGTAATGTTATTTTTTTGAACTGATTTTTTTTGGGTTTTTTTGGGGGGTTTTTTGTAGAAATGAAAGAGTTTTTGGTTTCGTTTTGATGAATGGGATCGTTTCGATTTTTAAATCTTATCCATCGATTGGTGATGTGACTTTTGCAAATACACTTTTCCTATTAACTTATCCAGAATTAATTAGTCGTAAGTCCCCAAACCCCATCCAATCTTATTTTTATCCAAGAAGAACAAATTTTTTCAATCAAATAAACCAAACCTATAAATATGATTGGATTTTGATTTTGATTTTGAATTTTGAATTTTCTTTAGATCTAAGACATCCGATCTTAACAATTACATTTTATATCTATTCATTAAGTTTATTACCTACGTTTTATTATCAATGGATTCATTTAGGATCAGGAAATGTGAATTTTTATTATGCATCTACTTTGGTTTGGTCGGTTTCCAATGGGTTCTTTTGGATTGATAATCTTTCTAGTTTATTAAAACTTCAATTCCAGAAAGATTTGAAAAGACTGAAAGAATTGGATGGGATACGGGATTGGGTTTTGGATGAAGAGGTTGAAGCTATTGTTCAAAGTTAGGTTTTTGGAGTAGAGGGATGGGGGCTTGGATTGTGATACTAGTGGGTTTGGACTTTTTGTGTTTCGGATGTAGATATATCATGGGTTTTTTTGCATTTGGGTTTTCTTTGCGATTTTAGGGTAGAGCAGTGTAATGATTTCGTTGAAAAAAGTTTAAATAAACTCTTTGAACAAGGTTTCTTGTAGTAATATGTTAGATTCATTTATATGAAACAAAAGGATCAAGAATTGCAAAATGAAAGATGAATCAGATTCAGAAGATGTAAAAGTCAAAAAGTCAAAGTTGAATGTCGAATGATCAGCCTATGAAGTTTCATCTTCCAGTTTTTGCAAATGTCTTAAAGATAATCAGATAAACCTCGACCCCAGAAGATCTCAGTATCTTTTATCTTAACTCTATACAACGGCTTGAATATCTAGAAATGTGATGATGACTCATACTCTTTGTTCCAACCAACTTCAATCTTATTCATCAGTTCCTTTAACCAAAGACTAAAAAGAAGCGATATTTTTCATAAAGGTTATTATAAGACATCGATTTCTCAAGTTTCAAACAAAAAACCAATGTAAGACCACATCTGTTTGTAGATCCAATCAAGACTTTTTCTTTACTTTTCCCGGTGACCAATCCATGAATAATTTTTTACCTTCTCTTTCTTGTTTAATTTTTTCAGCACCAATTTCCATCAACCGTTCTTCAATCAAATCAGAAAAGTTTATAGGTCCATTTGGATTTAAAATGATTGAGATTCTGATTCGATGACCTTTTTGTAATGCATGAATGGCTGTACGGAATTTGGTTGAAAGGTCATTCGGTTCGATTTGGTTGTTGATTTGGATTTCTTTGATTGGTAAGGATTTGTGGGTTGGTTTGGAGGAGCGACGAACACGGGTGACGGGGGTTAGGTCGGAACGGTTGATTAGTTTACAGATCGGGGGCGTTGTGATTCCGTTTACTTCGATTAAGGCGTATTGGGTGAAATCTAGTCTTGAGAGTACATCAAGAGTTCGGGATGGTTTTAGAAGTGAGTTGGTTGTGGGTTGGTCTGCTGAGTTTGGTGATGAGTTTAGTACACAGCTAGGATCTACTAGTTGGATCCATTCAGAGGTGATCTGGTGGTCTGTACGTCGACGGGGTGGGGTTCGTGAAGAACTTGAGGGGTGTAGAGATGATGATGTGAATGGTTGAGCATGATGGACTGCAATTGGTGAGAATGATGGTTTGAGGATCTTGATTGATCGATTCCAGAATCGGTTGATGATCATCTTGGTGAGGTTTTGTTTTAGAGAACTTCACTTCTGCTGTATTTTTAGCCGGTATCAAACTGAAAGTCTGGAACCGACCCGTCATACCGGATCGGATCTGCTCGGACTCTTCTGGTCACGTGTATTTCTGTGTGCACTCAATTGATGTATCTCAGTCTCAGGCTCTTAAAGGATGGTTTCATTAGAAATTGCTCAAAAAAACCCAGTGTGCCTTGATAACTTGAATGGAAACAAAGAAAATTTCAGATGTGACTTTCAACTGGCTCAACATCAAAATCCAAGTTTAAGCTTGAGATTGATCAATTCAATTATGATTGTAATAAAACTCAATATAATTCTTGTCATTTACTAGTGCCAATATTCATAAAATCTTACATTCATCTGATCCTATAGTTGAGTTTTTTTAATCTTTTGATCCAATAGCCCTAGAATATCTTTCAAGTTTTCTTCAATACCTTAAAACTGAATTATTAGTATGGTTGGAAATCTGCCAAAATAATTTCTTGAACTTTTTGAAACAAGATGAAGTATTAAATCTTGAGGTTGAGGTTGAAATCATCAGAATTCAAGTTTTCAAATCTGTTCATTTTCTTTATCTGATGATTAATGATATCTTGTAGTTGGTATCAAAGAAGTGTTTGACAAAGATGATACAGTTGACTCTCGATGTAAGCAAGTTCGACGTAGGCATATCTCGCTATATGCATAGATTTTTCCGGGATTTTTTTTGGTATACGTGCATCCCCTGCCAAAATCAAAACACTTGATGCATAATGGTTAAGACATAAACATTCATTAAAATTTGTGAAATATGCTTACAACAAGAGCTAATTATACTGCATATAAGCATATCATGAACCGCGCTAGCATAATATGTGTATATCAAGCTGCTGAAAGCCCACTTCCATTGGGTGTGAGAACTTCATCAACACAAAAAATCTGCTACATACCCACGCTCCCAGCCTCACCCAACCATGTCTTCCATATCTGAACTTATCAGTGATGTCCTTCTCCTCACACAAAACTGTCCTGAAATTGATACTGCAACAGCTGATGGCCACCTCAATAGGTGGTTTGGAGACTCCCCAGATCCCAGCTTGGACACGGATGAATTGACCCAAGACACCAATGGCAAGCTTGATAACGCATTTGGGAAAGATGTGGGCAGCCAGTTTATACTCAGTGGCTCTTATGGACTTCAGAAGGTCCTTGATTACATCGGAAAGGTTCAAAACTTGCCAAACTGTGATGCCAACATCAGCGGGATAATCAAAACCAAGCTTGTGAAAATAAAAACCATGCTCATTGGTAAGTATGTATCCATCTCTTTTAGCTTGTGAGATTTTTTTCGAGTACTTAGGCTCCTTTCATTTACTTCAGATGCCGGTGCAACAATTCCCAATATCTCTACTCGAACCTCAGTTGCAGGAAAGACAAAGAAACACAACAAGAGAGGTGAATAAGGTTCTTAATACTGGAGTTTTTTGCCTCTTAATGACTTACATGTACGACAATCCAGTGCAAGACAAAATCACAACAAACATTACATCCATTGATGCCTATGTCAAGCACGGAAAAGTCAGAAAAGTCGATGAACACATGGATGCCGACTCACAATCAGTAGAAGCTGTTGAAAACCCTCCGAAGAAGAAGTCCAAAAGCTCAGCCAATCAATCACAGAAGAAGTTGAAGGGAACTCGTGAAGTCAAGGACTTGAAAGATAAGTGTGAGATCCTGGCATGGCACATTGATAACGGAAAAACTCAAGCCAAAACAGCAAAACACTTCAATATTCAACAATCATCTCTGAGTCGATGGCTGAAGGATGCGAAGAAGATCACATCATCAATTCAAATGAACGGCCCCGATGTCAAGCGTCAGCGACCAGCAAAGTTTCCGGCTCTTGAAGAGGCCTTGTTCCACTGGATCATTGAGGCACATGCTTGCAGCATGGTTTTCAGCGGCGATACCTTACGTATGAAAGCTAAAGAGTTCGGTGATCTCCTTGGTGTTCAAATGAACTACTCAGATGGTTGGCTTTCAAACTTCAAGGATCGTCACAGCATTCGTACTCGAGTCCTCCACGGCGATGCAGCCTCAGTTGACCCTACTACTGTGGTAGAAGGTCGGAAGGATCTCCTAGAGCTCACCAAAAACTTCAAACCTTCTGAAATCTACAATGCTGATGAGACCGGACTTGTCTACAAGTGAGTAGACTTCTTTCTTTCAAATTTCGATTCGTTTTCTAAAGTCTTGGGTTTTTTAGGATGCCTCCCAACAAGACCCTTTCTAGCATGGACCACGCGGGAATAAAGGGCTCCAAGATTCGCATTACCTATCTACTCGGAGCTAACGCCGATGGGAGTGATAAGCTTCCTCCCTTGATAATTGGGCATTCAGAAAGACCACGGCCCTTTGGTCGCCACAACGCTTCGTACTGGGGCTTTGAATACAAATTCAACAAAAAAGCTTGGATGACAGCGGTCCTATTTGGTGACTGGCTCTCATCCCTCAATGCACGCATGCGCCTTCAGGATCGGAAGATACTTCTCCTCTTGGATAACTTCTCAGGACACACCTCTGCGGTCAAAGCACTCAAGCTTTCGAACATCACTGTGAAATTCTTACCTCCAAACACTACGAGTGTTTTACAGCCATGTGATGCGGGCATCATTGCTGCTTCCAAAGCTTACTATCGTCAAGATTTTATTTCAAAATCTATACTTAAGTATGAGCAACATCCTGATTGGAATGCAGATAAGATATACAACATTAACATCCTAGAAGCAATGCAAATGGCAGCACGAGCTTGGAAAAAAGTATCAGCCAAAACGATAAAAAACTGTTTTAAACACACCGGAATTATTGCTGATTTTCACCTTGACTGTAATCTCAACCAAATATCTGACAACGATCCCAATACTCACGATGTCTCTGATAAAAACTCTGACACTCATGAAATCTCTGAAGGCCACTCTCGAATTCGATACGCAGTCGACCCAGGTCTTCAAACAGCCATCAATGATCTCTCCGAAGAGCTTAAAAACCTCGATCGCTGTGCAGGATTACCAGAATCGCGTCCTGGATTCCGTATCAGTATCAACGCACTTTTAAATCCAGAAATCGAGGCTCGTAATCCCGAGCAGGAAATAATAATGCCCACAAACGAAGAAATTATACAAACTACCTCTGCCGCGAAACCAGTTGAATCACCAATCATCGAATCAGATGATTCAGAAGATGAAGTCGAACGTGTCCCGTTCACGTTATCTCAAATGAGGAAGGCAATCGAGGAGATTACATATGCTATGGAGTGTCGACCCGATCAAGGTGTGAACGAGGAAGAACCTAATTGGAGCCCGCATGTTCGCGCCCTAGAGAAGATGTGTGAGGATCTCAGCCATGTTCAGTTCTCATCATTGAAACAGACCAACCTTGATAGTTTTTTTAAACCCACTGGTATGTTAATCCAACTGCTCATCTTGTCCCACAGAACGGCTAGATCTGATAAATGCATTTTTTTATTCTAGCTTAATCACAGCTGCCTCGCCCGCTTCTAATTTTCTCTTTTATCATCCCAGCCTGTTGCAATCAATCACTTGCTCAGCAAGCCGTATGTCTGCTTTTTGTACGCTGCTGCATTCAACATGTATCTGTGGTTGTATCTGGCCCAATGAGCTCGTTTGATAAGCAAAAAAAGCGGCATGAGGGCATATGCCCTGTATTTTCAGCGAAAATATGCATATTATGTGTATTGCGCGAGGCAATCAGCATAAAGACATAAGGGTCTTGTTTTGGGAGAAAATAAGCATATTATGTCTACTTCGCGAGTATGCATCGCGCGATATATGCAAGGGATATCTGTCGACCATCAATATGCTTACATCAAGAGTCGACTGTATCAGCAAAGTCGTGCTTGAAAGAAACAAGATTTTGTAGGTAGCATAATTGTATGACTGGAGTCTATGAAACTTAGATGATGTTAAGATCTTAATATGTCTAAATGGGAAACTAATGGCAAAAAAAGAAGATCACTTACATGAAGGTCTTTGCAAAGGATACTCATGTGAGTTGCCGGAAATTTTTCTTTTGTTTTTATTAAATCTGTTTAGGATTATAAATTTGTGATTTGTTGAATTGTTGAATAAGGAATAATCAACCCAGATTCAAGGAATGGGATTAACAGAGACTAGTGAATGGATACCCAACTCATAGATTGTTGGAGAAAAGAGGACCAAACCAGCTGTTAACATAGCTGAGTGAAAAGTCTGGCTATGGGGTCAAGAAAGGGACCAGCACAGGAGGGTTTTGATTAGTGCTATGGGGGGATTGTTGTTTTTCAATGTGATAATTTCTATATATGTAGCCACATATATTTTATTGACCCTTTGATCCAAACATGTGTTGCTGCATAATTTACAATACTCAAAGTCAAGAGGTTTATTCTGAATTTTGTTGAACCTAAAAGAGTGTTTTGGTGAGGAAAAAACTTGAGATGTTCCCCAAGATTTTGTAATGTTGAAAACTCTGTGGTTAGTTTTCTCTTTTGTCCCTACAGATTTTCTTTCATCTCTGCTTTGAAAGCTTGTGTGATTTTTGGGCCTATGTCACAAAATACCCCTTGAACTTGGCAAACTCTGGGCATGGGTTATTGTCACTCTGTTTCAGATTAATGAAGTTGTAAATTAACAGTAGAAACAAGAAATCTTACTTTCTCCTGTTGAGGCCAAGTTTGGGAAAAGCTCAGATTCTAGATTTTGTGAAAATTAAGAATCTGCCTTTTTACTTTGAGTCCTATTATTATAACATTTAATATTGGGGGGTTCTTCAAGACTATTATGTCTACTTAGCACAAGGACATCCCTGATTCCCAAGATAAGGTGGTAATTGAGATATGAAGCATTCTTGTGGCTTATTCATAATTACTGTTATATTCTTTGTTACACCCTACGCACTTGTGATCATCACAATTTCAGATGGTATGACATCATATTTGATTTGAATATCTAAAAGGTTCACTTTGCTCTTTATCATTGTTTCTTTTTATTTATCAAGTTCGAACTTATGTTCTTTCCAATAAATCTTCTTTACCATCTGAATTTTTCTCATCTCATTTGATCAGTGTTCAGATTTATAAAAAGTTGACTCTGGGATCTCACAAGTGCAAGGTGTGGTTACTTAGAGAGATGATTTATCATATCCAAACTTATTTTCTTTCAATTTCATCTCATTCAATCAGTGTGCAGCTTTATACAAATTTGACTCCTGAACCTCACTGGAAATAATCAATTCTATTGTTATTACATTGGGTCTGCCAAAAAAGCAAGATTTATGGCTTCTGTGATGCATGGTACTGGTACAAAGAGAAATGGTAGGGTAGTACTAAAAATGCAAATACTTCATGGATCAGTAAATTGACGTAGTAAGGGAAATGGGTACTACTACTGGCCTGCAGCAGCCAACAGATGACAATTCTATGCAGATAAAATTTATGACATCCTTAATATACTTGGATATAGATTCCAGATCTATAACAGAGAGGTTCAGGGTTTTTAAAATCTACCTTGTTGCAGTTTTGCTTGCCAAGTTTGCTATGAGGTTGTTTGTCTTGGAAACAGAATTTTCTCCCTGTGAAGAAGATTTTCCAGTAGCATCACCAGTTGGAGTTGAAGACACAGTGGCTTTGGTGTCCTTCTGTTTTTTTCCTTTACCATTCTTGGGTGGAGTTTCTTTGTTGTTCTTTGGAGGCTCTGAAGTGGGGGTTTGGGTGGAGCTGTCTTGGTTCTTTGGAGGCTCTGAAGTGGGAGTTGGTGTGGAGCTGTCTTGTTGCTCTGGAGGAGGGGTTACAGTGGTATCCTGTGGATTTTCTGTTGGTGTTTCAGGAGGGTCACCTGTAGGTGGTGTGAACCCTGGGGGTGGTCCAAAACCTGAGGGTGGTGTGGCACCTGTGGGTGGTCCAAAACCTGGGGGTGGTCCGAAACCTGGGGGTGGTCCAAAGCCTGGGGGTGGTCCAAAACCTGGGGGTGGTCCAAAACCTGGGGGTGGTCCAAAACCTGGGGGAAATGTGAACCCAGAGGGCGGTGTGAACCCAGAGGGCGGTGTGAACCCCGTGGGTGGTGTGGACCCTGTGGGTGGTGTGGACCCTGTGGGTGGTGCGGACCCTGTGGGTGGTGTGGACCCTGTGGGTGGTGTAAAACCCGAGGGAGGTGCGGTACCATTGTTGGATGGTGCTGTACCATCGTTAGTCGGTGTGGTACCATCGTTAGTTGGTGTGGTACCATCGGTAGTTTGTGTGGTACTGTCCTTGGGAGGTGTGGAAGAAGATTCGCTTTGCTGTCCTGGCTGAGACTTTGTTTTCTTGTTTTTGTCGCTTTTCTTGCCGCTTTTGGGTGATGGAAGGGCATCACATTGATCAATAGAAATCATCATCTCCAGTACTAAGATGAAGATGATGAGTAGTGCCCGTTTTGTCACACGGCATGACAGCCCCTGGGATGATGAGAGGTCCAGCGATTGAAGGTAAAATTTAGAAACACGAAAACAGATTCAGAATGGTGATACTCGACATATAAACAAGCAATGGTTTGGCTAATACCTTGAATGGTGAGCCCGTGGTCGATTTCATGGTTTTCGAGTTGAAGAGAAATTTACCGTGAGCAACGAATCCCTTATGAACTTCTGAACTTGTTGTCCTTGGCGCTTGCGAGGAATATGTGTATACAGAACTAATTAACAGTCCAGCAGTTTTTGGAAAAAGACGATTATAGATGAGCGTCTGATTTACGGTATAGTATCAGAAAAACTTCAAAAGAACTATCAAATACAATAATATGATCTCAGTTGATTCCAAGTTTATCAAAAACTTGCGAGTGATCGACTGAATAATTTCACATTTTGCAAATAATTCACGAGTCTAGTTTTGCACCATCTAACAATGATTTCGACTCACGGAGTCTAGGAGGTGGATGAAGGAGCGAGCGCATTAACAACCTCGTGCGCTTTCAAGGCACGCTTTTGCTTTCCATCGCAAAATTTGTTCGTTCGAACGACTTAAATCAGTCTATTGAGGGAAACGTGGGTGGATTGACTTATGAGCGTGCTAAGCTGTCGCATCCTGACGCCTGAAGTCGGAGTACCTCGGTGCCTTCAGTGCACAGCGACCATCCAAGCTAAGTTGGCTCACCCAGAATACACTAATGAAGTCCGTCGAAATAGCTCTCAAGGCTTCTATCCTAAAGGTCAATCCTCCAATGCACGTGGTCTGTTCATGCAACCGTTGCATGGATTCAGATTAAAATGTGACCGAAGACAGACCATCCAAAAGAATTTTGACTGACATGTATGATCCTCAGCTCAAGTTTGAAAAGATGCGTGAGACCCTTTGTACTGACTCGTAGTCAAGTGATGCCGTGAAATTAACAGAGTTGACACATGAAATCTGTCTCCAAGATGTGATGTAGTCCAAAATGTTCATGAGGCTAACGGTGTTAAATCATATTGATTCATAGTAACGGGTCAAAATGAGATTCTGGGCAATGAGAATCTATTGAAGATTTCCAAATCACTTTATGAGGGTCAAGAAGAAATGGTCTGAAGAAAAGGACTCTATCAATCGACAAACCTAGCTTTATAACAAGTTGATTTAAAGGTACTGCTGAATACTCAGATTTGCAGAAAACTTGGGGCAACAATTCAGGGGAACTTGTGGATGGAATAACTGCCCATGCTCCATTTGTTAGGATACCCGCACTTTATGACATCAAGGCAGATGATCAGGTAACATTGGAAAAATAGTCATCTCTCCCAAAAAAGTCTTTTTTCGTCTTCTCTTTATCCAACGCCGAAGGTCTTGACGTCCACATTACCGCTCCGTATACCTTGAAAATGTGATTGTGTTCTTCAATACAAGTATCCGCAATTAAGAAGGATATCAACCTTCTTTGCTAAACGTGAATGAAACAATCATCAGTCTCGAGTTGGTATTGAGCATGATAAATATTCAAGATGATTTAATACCTAAGGGTAAATTTGAAATCACATTGCAAAAAAGAAAGATGCATAAATTCAACAAAACATGAATAGAGAGCAATTTTTTTTTGAAACGAGGTGGTAATATAAAAGAAGAAAATGCCCAACCCATTTCTTGATCATTCAATCAACGTGGAGATAGGTGATGATCTTCCATCAACCATTCCACCACTTTCCACCGGTGGGTTATGATCATGCTGGGTGTGGCAGTTCAAGAACAATCAAGTCTCAAAGTACGATCAATTCAGGCTTCATTCATCTTTCGCGAACTAGGCAGTCTGCGTCAAGACTATCTTGCGATCGAAATCATACCCAGCTTAACCACTTAGCTTAAGAATAAGACTTAATCGTAACGTGTTTCCTTATTCTTCACTTTGAACTTCCACTGTACTGAATCCTTAATTGAGGCTGATCTCATATTCAATATCCTTTTGCAGTCAGGTTTGTGCTTTTACATTTCATTTCTCTTTATCATTTTCATTCATCATTCTTGTACCCATTCCTTAGGGAATCGAGATTAATCTCATATTCAATATCACTTTGGAGTCCGACTTCTAGCAATTCATCAAAACCATACTTTGGTTCGAGAATCTTCAAGTCCACTACGTGGCATCAGAACCTCTTTCCCTCTTAGAGCTTTCCTTTTATATGAGGAGCATCGGTCATTTTACATGAGCCCACCACCTCTTGTAACGATGTACGGATTCGAATCTGTCATGTCCTTTAAACACTTCTTTGTCCACTAGCTCTGATCAGCTGAAAAAAAGGAAAGAAGTTGAAAGGTGTTACAAAGGGTTTGTTCCTCAAAACATCAAGAAAACTCGACACCGTGTGTTAAAGACGTAAAAGGGAATAAAAAACCTCTCAGAGGTCTTTCACGGTAGAAGCGCAAGACTTGCGTAAGTCAAGACCCGATCCTTACCTTTTTAATCAGGTTCATTGGCTACAAAGGGTTGTTTGCTTGCATTTCGAACTTTCTAAATATATGACATTCCTTCAATTCTTCGGTGGTGACTTTGTATTGTTCCCTGATCCTTGATATCAATGGCTTCAACTCTTTTGTCAACCTTTCTTCAATTTTGGATTTATCTGACGAATAAGTTTGCCTAAAGCGTCAGTTAACCATCTTCACGGAGGATAAAGGATAGCGTATAAATAATCAACTTCATTCTTGCTTCCTAATATTAAGCTCTCAACATTATTTGATCCAATTCTTGAAAACTTTTGAACATTTCACTAAATTTTATCGATTGCTCATTACCCGTCGTCCCGCCCCGACTCACAATGGTCCGAAAACACAAAACAAAGTCCCGAGACAGTCAAAATACAGATTCGATCGGGAATTTGAAAAGAAAATCCAAATCAAAGTCAAAGTCAAAATCGAAAATGGAAGGAACTCATTCAACAACATCACAACAACTTCTTACTTGGGGAAAACTTCATCCATTCTGTTTGCCTAAACCATTACTAGAGAACCTTACTCTAAGACCTCGACCACTTGCACCACATCAAATTGAATCAAACAATCATCAATCTAATTTAACTCAGGATGAAAATATATCGGATGGAAAACTGGGTTGTCTGGTTTGTGATACCCACTTCGATGAACCTTTGGCTCAACGTGCTCATTTCAAGAGTGACTGGCATCGCTATAATGTAAAACGTGGTCGAAAAACGGCACCTTTGAAAGAATCAGAATTCCAAGCGGTACTTGAAGCATTAGAGGATTCATTAAGTGGTTCGGAAGATGAAGATGATTCTAGTTCAGAAGAAGAAGATCATAAATCAGAACCAAGCGATTCAGAAGATCAACAAGTTTTATCAAATCCTGTTCAGAATAGTCCTTTGATTTGGTTTACTGCTTCAAATTTATTAGGAGAAGGAGTACAGTTTGGAATTTATCGTTGTATTCTTCCTCAATTCTCTACTCGGAAAATCACTTCTAATCAAGGTGAATTAACAGAAGAAGAACAGAGGGTAGTCATCTTGAATGAATTGAATGGATTGCAGTGTGAACCGAAGCCAGGTCCAAGTTCAAATCGAATGGTCAATTTGGAAACCGATGAAACTCCTCCTGTTCGAACCTGGGCTTTCTTTATGGTTAGTGGTGGTCATTTTGCGGGTATGATTGTTAGTACCACACCCGAGCTACGTCATGTTGGTAAGGGAAAAGCACCTGAGAAGGAGATTGTAATTCTAGAGCACAAAACCTTTCATCGGTATACCAGTTGAGTTCATATTCTCATTATCTACTACTTCTGTTTTACACTTTATAACCATCCAATTGATCTGACAAATTGATTTTCTTATGATCTATACAGCTCGTAGAAAACAAGGTGGGGGTCAAGGTACTCATGATACTAGCGGAAAGGGTATGGCCAAGTCAGCAGGTGCAAATCTGAGAAGATATAATGAACAAGCATTGACTGACGTAAGTCCCCAAATGACCTTCCCTACCTTTTTATCTTTGAATCAATCTGAGCCAAGAGCTGTTTGTAATCATAGGAAATTCGGGATCTTCTTGCTTCTTGGTCTCAGTCAATCGCAAACTGTGAACTACTTTTTATTAGAGCTAGTAAACAAAACTCTAAAATCTTTTTCAATTATGATCAATCGGTCTTAGAACGTAGTGATCCACGTATCCGTAGTTTTCCTTTCCCAACCAGACGTCCTGTAAGTCAATTCATACCACTATCAAATTACGCTCACTGTATTTGACTGAAACTTTGATTCATCTCGCGTATATTAGACTTTGAATGAATTGAAAAGATGTTTTCATGAACTCACTCGAGTTCAGATAACTCATCTCACAAAAGAAGAATTAGAAGCAGCCGATCAGCTTTACCTAGATTCATTATTACCCCGAAAACCACTACCTATCAAACCTCAAGCTGCCCAACCTAAGAAGATCACGAACAATAAACCAGAGATCGATCCAGCCGAGCAACGTCTTCAAGATCGTTGGGAGAGGTTTATAGAAATGATTCGAAAAGGACGTCTGAGTGCTATACAGGACTTTGTGGTCAAATATAATGAAGAAGGAGAGCCTGATTGGACTGGATTGTTACCTGAATTCTTGGTAGAAAAGAAGCATGTAGGGAGCGTCCTTCATTTGGCTGCGATGTGGGATCAACCTGAAGTGGTAGAATGGCTGCTTATTGAACGAAGATGTGATCCAACAATTGTGGTAGATCGAGAAGAAGGAGGACCAAAGATGTTAGGCATGACGCCATACGAAGTTGCAAGTTCACGTACCACTCGGAATGTATTTCGAAGAGCGATGGCGAATTATCCAGATTGGTATGATTGGTTAAAAAAAGCTAAAGTGCCTAGTGGATTAACAGAAGAATTAGAATCACAACAAATCTTAAAAGAGAATTTAAGACAACAGAAATTGAAAGAAAAACTAAAAGAAAGAGATCGGGTTAGAGAACAGAATGAAGCTCGTGAACGTAAGGAAAGAGAAGAAAGTGAAAGGAAATCAAAAGAAGAAGAAGAAAAGAAAAGATTAGCTAATCCTAAACGTGGACCTCAAAGATTAGGTGGACCAGCAGCTGTTATTTTATCTAAACCTATGGAAGCTTTAGGGTTAAGTGGTGATCAACGTGCGAGGTTAGAAAGAGAAAGAAGAGCTCGTGCTGCAGAGGCTAGGTTGAATAAATAATTTTCAATTTTGAATTCAAAATTCGCTGCGATAAATATTTTGTATCATATCACTTCATTTATAAAAAGAAATGATTGTGAATTGGAAATTGGAAATCATTCGAGCTTATCTTACATATGTGTTCCTTTTCAATCTTATAATCAGTTTAGAATGGACAAGTGATTCATTGTGTGCGAAATCTTGTAAAAACCAAACGTATTTCTTCTTTAGTTCTTTCTTCATGTATCTTTCGACTTTAAACATGAAAAATCAGGTGGTGACAAATTGGATTTGAACTTGTTTGTCAATTGCAATTTGATTACATGATGTGAGAAAGGTATGGAACCTTGATAGATTGAAGGATAATTCCTGTGTATGGTTTTATTCTGTCTTCACATCCAGATCACGATTTCCAAAACATACTTCAAATCTGTTAAATTTATCATGTATGTATTAAATCTTTTGATTTACCTAGAGAAAACTATGAGCAACAATTTTCACGCAAGGCCACCACTGGTTTTACTACCATTGTCCTTGTTGTGGACATATATTCTGAAAAGACAGTTTGGTTACTCATCTACCCCTGAAAAGTTGATGTGTTGTGGTATCAAGTATGGCGTATACCTTATGGGATTTTGAAACTATCTTATAGTATTAGGGGGTTTCAAGTTGGTCAAAAAGTGCCTCAAAATGTTTGTTTGTACTTTTGCCTCCCAACCCTTGAATTTTCAGTCATTTTTTTATAGAATAAACACTAAAATGTGCTTCTTGGAAAGGGCTTTCTAGAAGTTTTTTGAAAATTTGAAAATTATAAGCTATGGTTTTATGTAGGGACATTTGAACTTTAGGCATTTTTTTAAGTTGAAACCCCCTATTGTATTCCTTGGGTCACAGCAAGTCACAGCTCATCTTACCATGTGCATCTGGACCTGGTTGATCAGTCCACCTGCCCCGTGCCCCTCATCAGTGATAGCATGTATGTTGAATGGTCAATGAAACTTCTTGGGACAAATAGTTTCTCAAAGGAGAGTCATGGAGAAATTGAAAAAGGGGTTCTTCAAAAGTTTTCAAGGAACTGAAGAAAAGATAAGTTTCATTCTGATGAAAATCTGCTGAATTAAATCATGAAAATATAAGAGCGGAGATGATGAAAATAAACGCATGATAGCAAATAGCAGCAGTTAAAGAATGAAGGGTTAGAAGAGGATTGGAAAGAAAATAAAAATGTCCGAGTTGCACAGATAGTCCTTTACATTGAATTACATAAATCATGTAGATCGAAGGCGACCGTTCGTGTCTCTCGGGCTGCTAGTTACCATATTAGAATACCTTGTCGCACGAGAGGTTGCTACGTGTATTGTCGAAAATCACTCGTCTTCAGAAAATAAGTGTCAGTAAAGCTATCATGATCATATACAAGTTTGGTCAAATGGATCTTACAGTCGTAGCAGTAAGGATAAGCAGTGGTGTCCATTGTGTCTCGGACAGTGGGATTAGGGCCCAGGTTGAGATACGTGAGGGGATCGCTCAACTTAGCGTTGTTGACAGTAGTTCCTCTCTTGGTCTAAGAGAAGGGCTTATTAGCTATGTGATCCTTATGACTTGGATCCTCCTACGTACAATTCCACCGTAAGCGGTTAATCTGGTGCGACGGTTGGCGTTGATCCATGTGGCCCAATGCCACTAGTATGCATAGTAAAGGGTCAGGTGATGAAGATGATATTGTTTAAGATCTTGTGGAAGCACTCACGTCAATATTGGTGTGATGAAGGTAGAACAACCTGATGGCATTTCGGTATTTCATAAGCAAATTTCAAGGTAGCCTGAGTTAAGTCCTATTCAAAAAACTTACGGCTGATGAGGATGAGCAAAGCAGGCATCAGCTGACATGGTGAGATTTCCATCAGTGAATCTTTACTTACTTCATTGGCAGCATAAGAGGTAGGAGATAGGTCCTGACATCACGGAAGATGTTTGTGAGTAACTTTAGGTTGGTCCATTTGACTTTAAAATGAGGTCAAAAAAGATCCACTCACTCCTCCGATTATGGCGTGAATGATCGAATGGGCGCTGACAAAACTTGTATCTCCTTTGTCAGGATCGAATCCCTAATCAATGGACAAAACGTGGGCTTTGGATTAGCATAGTTTTTAACTGCTCATTTCAAGGCCGACATCTTACCTCCACAGCAACAGCAAAGTCGGGATATGCGGTTTTAGCATGGACACGAGCCATCGCTGGAGCGTCACTGAGTAGAAAAATGGGTGAGACTCCTTACAAACAAGACGTGTTCCAACTGTCTGAAGTTCGAACCAAGATATAAACTTACAAAAACTGACTTCCCCAAGTTCGACCACTGCGAGTGAATGGAATAATCAATCACTAGAATGTTTGGACCGCACGAACAAGAGTAACACTCAACTCCTGTACGAATTCCTGAGGAAGGTTGTAGTTACGCTCCAAGGTGTGCTCGTCGGGATAGTACAGCTGAAGATTCGCAAAGGCTCCATCTTCGATCGCACCACCACCTTTTACGATAGTTGGCACCGCTTGATCAGAATGGATCTCTTGCGTCAGGAGCAATAAGAAACTTTCAGCTAACCTAATTTGGAAGGATCCTTTGTGAAATCTTTCCCGTTAGTACCAAACCCAGTCTAAGACACAAGTATGTTAGACATAATTTTTATTCAAAGATCGCGCCAAGTCGTGGCTGTAAAGAGGATTACCTGAGGGTCAGCAGACCAGACTGGAGATAATGTCATGTCGTCAGAATCTAGGGTCCAATCCCAGCGGGGCAAGTTTCCCTTGTAGCCGCACTCGGTTTGGAGAGCTTGCTCCCAGAGAAACATAAAATGTCGGTGCCCTATTTCGACGATAATAAAAAAGTCAAAGATCAGCCCCGTCTATCAATGTACCTTTGTAGTCAGATTCAGAACTCACATGGCAGGAATGACGCAATCCAGTGGATTTTATTCCTCATTCTCGAATGAACATTCTCAAAGTCGTCGTAACGTCGATATGCTCCGCCCGGCATAAGCTTGGATGGCTTCACAATGAGACATTTCACAGCAGTGGTATAGTCTGTCTGCTCCTGTCGACTCATTTTGCGCCATTCTTTCCTAATCCTTATACGTGAGCATTTGCCACTTCCAGAGCTGGATGTGTCCTGGGTAGGAGAAGTTGTGCTGGAAGAATATAAGTATACAAGTTCAGTTGTAATGACTACATTGATCGTGCTGATTTCATGAACAAGGGCTCACTTAGCTGAAGGCTTTGTAGTGTTTGTTCCAGGTGCAGAGGATGGAGTGGATGGACCTGTTGACGGTGGAGGGACAGAGTTAGTTGATCCAGGCGAGGATGAAGGGACGGAGTTAGTTGATGCAGGTGACGAGGGAGGGACAGAGTTAGTTGATGCAGGTGATGTAGGAGGCACAGGATTGTCTGATACAGGTGACGGGGAAGGGGGAAGTTGATCTTGTGCTGGCTGTGAGGATGAGGGAGTTATCGTTGGGTTGGATGTTGTTGGCATCTGGCTGAAGGGCGTCGCCGGCGCTCGGTTTCGAGGGTTCCAATTGAACCAATTCGAAGAAAAATTAAAGGGAAACCAACGCGATGATAGATGACCCCGTCGCTGATGGTGAAAATGGGATCCAGCTTGAGGAACTCCCATTATAAATTCTGCCTGCAAGATGGATACAATCAAGACAGCCACTGGTAGGGCCCATCGACTCAGCATGGTCAAACGCGAAAAAAAGAAAACAATGATATGTTGATGGAAGGATCGTCTCTACGAGTGTCCAGATATGATCTTTAAACCACGCGGTAAATAAGGATTGAAAGTATGTCAGAAAGGCAGGCTTTTGAAAGAACGCTGCGAATAATGCGGATGAACAAGACCTGATAAAGAGATTTATTTTATGCAGCTCAGACAGGGAAACCTTTGAGCTCCGAGGAACGCAGACCACCATCTCGAACCGCGCCGTTGCGAGGAGAGGTTTTCGCCAATCTTTCCTTGCTCTGAATGTTCAAGTCATGATGAGCGATCTGATCACAGCCGGATAGAGTAGAGTATCCGGATCAAGCTTTAATCTATCCAAAACAGTCTCTTCACACTGTATGGAGGGCAAGCGCAGTCCTTCTGCCTGTTGGGAAATCCTTCAAGGATTTAAATACCAAGAGGTGCACCGATAGGGTCCATTCGACGAGCTTGAGCACCTATGAGCACCTACCCAAGTACTGTCATTCTCAAAAATCTTGTCCAAGTTTTCCCGCAAAACTCGAGCAGTTTGGCGCGGAATTTTCGGCAAGCTTTGTAAGAACGAGAGTACCTCCGAGTCAGGCGTAGGCTTCTTTCGAGCCAAGGTGCCCGAGGCTTAGGATGAGCAGTGAGGTCTTCAGTGTGATGTAATCCGCAGTACAGCTATATTTCCAACAGATTTGACCAGCGTAGCAAAGAATTCCTTTTTGCAAAAAAACCATGAAAGAAGCTTGCCAATGTGAAAACAAAACAAAATAAAAAAGGAATAAAGACAGTTAAGAAAATAAAATGGGGATAGAGCAGCCAAAACAACTCGACTAATTATGCAGAGTCTGACATTTCCTCCAGCAACCAACAAACAAGATTCTAGATGTCTTAACCATGGAATATCTGAAACAAAGAGAGCGAGACAAGGGATTTCCCTGCCCAGACCACTACTGGCGTGTCCAAAACACACATATCATGGGTCGTATCGATTTCAAACCCTAGGTTTTCAGCATTCTCTGTTGCGCGATCTCTTGCAACGACTAGTCAACGAATTTTTGCACAAGTTTTCGTAAAAGTTAGCCTCGTGAAAATTTCACAGTGATGCTGATAGTCTTCACTTACCTGGTTGCAGGGAAATGTGGAAAAACTTTCTTTCGTCGTTGAAGGACATGGCCAGCGGCTCTGAAAATGGCAAATACAAGTCCCCCACATCCTCTTCTTAGCAATAAACTTCACGAGACAAATGAAGACGGTGTTGCTTACGATTCATCAGCCGAGAGCGTAGCAGAGATCGAGGCTATATGACATGTCAGAGACATCAGTTAGATTGAAGATGGACGACAGCCTTAGGGGGAAAGAACACAAAGAACAATCACCTGCTAGAATAGCAAAGACGAAAATCTTGAAAGAAACCATTGATTGATGATAATGTGAAAAGAACAATGTTATTTTGGACGATGAAGGACGATGTTGTTTTGATGAGTTTAAGATTGAAATGGTTTTGGAACGCTTGGCGAAGATGAGGGCCAAATCAATTGGTAGTCGCCTTATCCACTCAAATCTCAATGAGAGCAAGTTTGGGTAATGTAGGAACTGACTCGAGTAACCTAGTAGGATTACTCGTTTTCCCATTACCTTCTGTGGGTGTCACATTTCCACTTTACAGGCGAGTTCTACCATCAAGGTTGCCATCTCTTGCCTGAGATCAACAGCCTTGAGTTTGGTGTGGGGGTAGTCCCGTGGCCTGAATAATCTAGGATGGGGACTGCGCTCCATCCTAAGATTATCAGTCACAGGGCGAGAACGGGCCTGAGAAGTAGACTTCTCAACCCCCTGACTCACGAAGGCCGGAGTCGTGAGCCTTGAGAAGTCAAAACCCCCAAGCTCCTACTGAGTGTTGTCTACTTACAGCTGTTCCAACAAATATTGATTTTTTTGGAAATCTCGCCAATGTGCAAAACCCGGGTTTTGTCCCTCACTTGATTTTGTCTCTCCGCTAATTGGAAGAATACAGGAAATAATAAACCTGTAATCAAGTTTTGTCTTTGGTTTTAGCCGCTGCGGAGACAACTTTCTCCAAAGAAAAGTTGTCAACCTTTCTTGGAACGGCTGTATGCTTCTAGGAATCGGAAGGTTTAATGGCTGAACTACGCTTCAACCCCTCAGATCTACATCTGTAGCGATGATCTCTGTTCATGAGTCACCTGTATACAATTCTCACTCTACTACCTCTGATACTGTCCGTTGTATGAACAAAGGGACCTCCCCAAACTTTACCTCAAAGTTTGTCAATTGGATGGAACTTTAATTTTTCCTCAAACCATAACCAGACATTTGATTCATTACCAAGTAGAAGGTATACTACATATTCACGTGCAACATACTAAGGTATCAGCCATGTACTCTGACCCGTCTTCTGCATCTAATCTTCCAAACGTAACACCTTCAACCACTCAACCGTCTCCTTCATCTCTTTATCATTGAACTTTCTCAAATAAATTTTATACGCATCCAATGCCCACCTTCCATTTATCTTCACCACCTGTCTCAACACTCCGAGGTTCCAACGTAGAGAAGCCCCTCCTATTCTAAAGGAGTGTCTGTACAACAACTGGTGCTTTGGTGGGCGATAGGCATTCCAGAGAGTCCTCAGCTTACTGATCACCAGTCGTTTCTTGAAAACAATCATGCGGCCATCTACCTCACTGGCGGACCCAAACACTGGATCTATTGCCCGTCTTGGTCTGAAATTGTACAGGTGTTTCAAAATGCGTACCGGATCGAGTTGTGAATTTTGTCGTTTTAAGAAGATGGTCTGTATCTCTCCTGGTCGAGCTGTCTTTGCTCCGTGGATTGCGATCTTAGCATATGAATAATCATTCGCCCATAGGACATCGCCCCAGATTGGTAAGCGTTTCAATTCGTCATCCGAGACTAATTCTCCCAATCTCGCGGTCCCCCAAAAAGCCACAAGTGCTATCGCGAAGATCACTAAATCTTTTTCATCCGTTAGGCATATGTGTTCGAGAAGAATCGCCAAATCGGAAACCAATACTGGGGGTCTCAATTTTTCCGCTTCTTGAAGTTTGTGTTCAACTGTCTCTGAGGCCTTCAGCAATAAGGATACTGTGTTGTCTTTGTCCGATGGGTAAGGTTTGCGGTGGAATTTATGCCAGGCCTTAATTCCGGCGATGTATGAGCGTAAGGTTGAAGATTTGACCGACTCGTCGTTTTCCGCTAAGTCCTCTTCTTTCTTTGAGCCCCATACCACAAATCCTAACAAGACTTCTGGTGCAATCGGTAGTAGCTGAACTCTATCCACATTGTTCACTTCTGCGTATTGAAGAAGTTTTACAACTCCCGAATTGTAATGTTTGAGCGTTCCGTCCATCCACGCTCCCCTCAAGAAGTGTTTTTGGATTACGCCTGTTTCGGATTTGTCGACCCCAAAGGCGTCTTTCTTAAAGGATCCATAAGGCTTAGTAAGTTTCCTGAAATCGTTCTTCTTCTTCTTGGTCTCTGAATTGATGTCTGGTTTGGTCAAAGTCTTCTCTTTCATGATGACTCCTCCAAAAGAGTCGGAGTGACTTGGAAGAGTAGGTGTTGCAAGTCTAGCGGGATCTCTACCAGGACTTCTTTGAACCAGTGTAAGTCTTTGCTCAGCTTCCCTCTTGATAGGGCGTCGGCTTTATTATCTTTTGATGCGACTTGTTTCTGTTTCACGTCACAGCCTAAATCCGTAAGCAGTTGCTGTATTCTTTTCCATTTGGCGTTCACATACTGATCCTTTGATTTCCTTTTCCGTATCGCATGTTCAGTTGTCGTGTTGTCAGTATGTACCCAGAATCGACGACCTTCAACGCGAGTCACTTTCTTCAGAACCAGAAGTCCTAGTCTTATGGCCACCATCTCGGCCCATGCTATCCGGCGCCTCCTCTCTTTCCTACCTTTCTCCTCCCATTGTGAAACAAATTTGAAACACACCCAAAAACCGTCCACAAGGACTCCGATCCTGCCACACCGTATCAAGGAAATGTACGTCAGTTCACTATAGTGGTTTTTCTTCTTCACAACTGCAAATCTCCTTTGCTCACCCAATTGAAGATGCTGCATCTCCCACCCATCCCAACTCCTCTGGGGTTGGGTTTGGAACAATTCGACATTCCAAACTGCGTTAAGCAAAGGTCCCACTCTTTAAGATCTTCTACTACATCTTCAGGGGTTAGGCGTGTCGCTTGAAGGTTATGCCAAGATTTCTTCCATCTGTATAACGAGTTTAGATAGGCCGCCATATGAGGTACTATGTGTACCGTGTGGCATAGACGGCCCACAAATTTTTCTACTTGTGAGAAGTTCCACCTTTTCCCACTCACTAACAAATCTTTGACCTCTTCTGCTCTTTCATCTAATATCTGTTTTGGGAGTCTGACAGTATGCTTCTTTCCATTCCAGATGAACCCGAGAAATTTTTGCTCTTCAGCAAATTTGTGGTTCTTCTTTTCGTTAGTTCGCACCCCCATCTGGTTACTCAGGTCAGTCACGTCTTTTAATGAGGTTCTCGTCTTTGGACGTCGTAGGATGAGGTTGTCATCAACCCATCTGAAGATAACTGGAAATCTAAGTTTACTAATCATGATGCTTTTCCAGGTTTCTGCTGGGGCTCCGAATACTCCACAGCTCGCTACACCTCCAAAGCCCACAGCTAGGTCAACCCATAATCTTTGTCTAAAATCTTTTATGATCAGAAACTTCCGCTGACTGTGGTGTACCGGGAGTTGTCGGTAGGCTTTGGCCCAATCGAAGATTGCCAACTCCCACTCTCCTGGGTTGTTCTTGAAGAATTTTGCGACTCTCTTGAAGTCGTCCCAAGAAGTTTCATAGTTCATTTTGTCCATGAAGGAATTTACCAAGTCATTTATAAGTCGAATAGAACCGTCGCCGTTTGTGGCGCTTCCCATCGGATTCGACCAGAAGAAACCAAACTCCTTATATAGCTGCTCATGAGTGTAGGGACCAGCAATACGTCCTTCTCTCACCTCGTTTGCTATGGTCCGCTCTATCTCGGTCTTCACTTCCGACGCCAATGAGTGGTTGTCCGGGGTATACCACTTTTGTTTCCCCAGGTAGTGCTGTGGAATTCCTAAGCAGAAACCTTCAACG